GGCTTAACTGTTGAAATTTATGTCATGAAGAATTGCCCTGTCCTGAGTCTACGTGGCTGTCCGTCCCCTTCTCGGACAGAATGTTGGGCTGGAAGGACCCTACTCAGACCTGGTAGGATAAGTTTCGTCATTTTATGACAAAATGGTCACTGACATGAGAAGGCAGATTGCTTTGCTTGCCATTCATCAGTCAAAACAGAATCTTCAAAACCATGCCAAGTTTTTTGTCTTCAGCGATCATTGAGTCAACGTGGGTGTCTCCATGCTACAGAAGCAGGTTTTTCAGGCCTACTTCCAAGCAGCCTTTGTCAAGTCAAAATGTCCTGAATTTTCCACTTTGATGACTCAACACTTTAAATGAGTTGATTTAACATAGCATAGGAAAAGTTCTTGAAATGGTCTGTGTTTATATTTATGTTCACCTGTTGGCTTTCGGCTAGGTGAGGTGACTTACTATTTATTTAATTCCTTTTAAGAACCTGAAACTAAGCATAAATTATATGCTCTAATGTTAGAAGTAATAATAGCAATAATCTAACTTTGTATTATTCTTCACCAAATAAACAGATAAAATTATCGGTATTTACTTTTTATAACAACATTTACATAATTTATTTGGCTATACTTTTAAAACCATAATCTGTGATAGTCAAAGTCTGGCTATTGAAATATGTTCCTTGCGAGGATGTTTTTCTTGAAAACTCACATTCTGCTATTCATTTTTTCTTCATTATGTTTGGATTCCTCTGCATGCTTATACAGACCTTTCATTGCACAATTTCAAACCTGTGAACTCAACTTGAAAAGAAAAATCAGGGCCGACCGAGTGGCTCAGTAGGTTAAGAGTTAGCTTAAGAGCGCGAGCTCTGAGAGCAACAGGGCTGCCGATTCGTGTCCCACATGGGCCAGTGACACTCAGCCCGAGCTGAGCTGCCACTGAGCTGCCAACAGGTGACAGGATGGCTCACCTGGTGAGAGCACGTGCTCCTAACAAAAAGACTGCCTGTTCGATGGTGGGCTATGCCCGCCCACAACTAAGACTGAACTTGGTATCTTGAGCTGAGCTGCTGCCCGGCTGGCTCAGGGAATAGAGCGTGTGCTCTTAACAACAAGGCTGCTGGTTCGACTCCCGCATGGGATGGTAGCTACACCCACCCACAACTAAGATTGTAACACAGCACCTTGAGCTTAGAGACCACGAGCTGTTGACAGGCAGCCAGATGGTGACTGGCACCCTCTACAATTAAGATTGAAGAACAACAACTTAGCTGGTCCCCCTCCCCAATTCCCCAACACTGTTCCCCTCCTCCAATTCCCCAATTCAAAAAGCAAAGAAGAAAAATCAGTGTCTGCTTTTTTTAATTTAGTGATTGGATTTAATTGAATTTAATGATTCATAGTAGCCATAAAAGCATAAAAGAATCTATAGCGGGGCTGGTCAAGTGGTTCAGTTGGTTAAGAGCTTGCTCAAGAGTGCGAGCTCTGAGCAACAGGGTCGCCGGTTCGATTCCTTGCCCAAGCTGAGCTGCTGCTGAGCTGCCAACAGGTAACAGGATGACTCAGCTAAAAAAAAAAAAAAAATCTATAGAAATGAGATTTCAGTGGTCACATACTGAAAGTTACATGCTTTTTTGGGAGCAGTACTGCATCTGTTTTTATAAGGAGATTAATTATCTATCTTAGTTCTTAAACTTTAGTATGAATATAAGAAATACTAGTAAAATGCAGATTCCTGGACACTACCCCTCAAGCTCTGATTTGGTAGGTCTGCAGGGAGGCCTAGGAATATGTATTGTTAATAAGCTCCACTGATGGTTTTGACTCAGTGATGTATGGACTAGAGTTTGAGACAGTCTGATTAACTAATGTGCTTTTCGAAGCACAGTCCCTCTTCTCTTGAAAGTTACGTTCCTTAAAGAAGAAGGCAAAAGTGAGAAAAGAGGCTTACTCAATTGCATATCTTGACTTTATTCATTTCTATTTTAAAAGAAAACATTTCTATTTTACCTTTGTTCCTAAAATCTCTTATTGATCTCACAGGAAAAGGAAGATTTGGTGAGAAGTAATTATAAACTACAAATATAAAACTAGGCCCTCTTATGTACTGTCTCAGCGCCATTCTGACCACTGCCACTAAAGGGTAATTTGTGTGAAAACGTGGCTTTTGAGCATATAAAAATGTTTCTTCTCCTTAACTACCTATTATGCCCCAGTCATGCATGAATCTAGAGGAAGACCTGGGGGAGCGTGGGGGCTAGAGAAGGGAACAGGGGAACCTAGCTCAGGTTTGTCTATAACAGACGAAGATGTAAAAATGCAGTGGATAACTGAGGAACAATCTCTAGGCAACGAAGCAGAACCTTGCGAATGTAGAATAAAATGTAAACATGTGGTACTGCAGAGAAGTCATGGGTACACAGGAGGAACTTTCTGAGCTACGTGACTTTTCACACAAAAGCTCTCATCCTGATGATAATCTTGAAATAAGGCATTTTTAGTCTTGGTTAGCAGCTAGGCAGACTGACAGTGGCTGATAGGTGGCAGAGACAGGGTATAAATGAGGTCCAGCTGGCTCCAAAGCCCTTGTTCTTTTGCTGTCCTATATCTTTGGGGTTTTTTTTAACAGTCAAATGACCTAGAATTAAGTGAGGATAACTTTGTCAGCCAAGCTGTGTTAAAAGTAAAACCAGGGCAGACGTGCCCATGACTCTGCTTTTCATATGGAACGTAGGGTAATAGATTAACAGTGCATGTTAATGAATGAATGGATAAACAACATGGGGGATATCCATCCAATAGAATGTTTTTGGGCTATAAAAAGGAATTAAGTACTGGTACGTGCTACAACATAAATGCACCTTGAAAACATTATACTAAATGAAAGAAGACAGTCACAAAAAAGCCACATAGTGAATGATTCAATTCATATGAAATGTCTAGAATAGGCCAATTTATAGAGACAGTAAGCAGATTAGTGGTTGCCAGAAGCCGGAGGCAGAGGGGAATGGAAAGTGACTAATCATGGACATTGGGTTTCTTTTTGGGGTGATAAAAATGTTGGAATTGTAAGTGGTGATGATTGCACAACCCTATGAATATAGTAAAAACCACTGAATTGTATACTTGCAAAGAGTGAATTTTATGGTATATAAATTATATCTCAAAAAAAGAGGCAGGTTTTGGATTCAGACGGGCTCTAAATCAAACTCTGCCTAAATCAGTTACTAGTTGTGTGGCTGTGGCAGGTTATTTGAACACTCAAAGCCTTACTACAGCCTTGTTTCTAAAGAAATGATAATAGTATGAACCTTAAAAAGTTTTTGTAAGGATTCAGTGAACTAAATATGTTAAGTCCTTAGCCTAGTGCCTGCACAGAAAAATTTCTTCATAAATGCTAGGTTTTACCTCTAGAGAGAAGGTTGTTTGTGAAGAAATTTTAAAAATCAGAGCAATCATCAACAAGACAATAACAAGTGTTGGAGAGGCTGTGGAGAAAAAGGAACCCTCATATACTGTTGGTGTGAATGCAGATTGGTACAGCCACTGTGAAAGGCAGTGTAGAGGTTCCTCAAAAAATTAAGAATAGAATTGCCATATGACCCAGCAATCTCCCTCCTGGGTATCTGCCCAAAAAATCTGAAAACATTTATCTGTAAAGATATATGTGCTCCAATGTTCTTTGCAGCTTTATTTACGGTGGCCAAGACATGGAAACAACCAGTGTCCTTTGATAGACACTGGATAAAAAAGATGTGGTATATACACACAATGAAATACTACTCTGCATTAGAAAAGATGAAATAATGCCATTTGCGACAATATGGATGGATCTTGAGATTATTATGCTAAGTGAAATAAATCAGACAGAAAAAGTCAAGAACCAAATTGATTTCACTGATATGTGGGATGTAAAACTGAAAGCAACAAAGGAAGAAGACAAACAAAGAAAGAAATAAAACCTCATAGACACAGACGATAGTTTAGTGGTTACCAGAGAGTAAGGTGGGCGGGGGGTAGATGAGGGTAAACAGGGTCAAATATATGGTGATGGAAGGAGAACTGACTCTGGGTGGTGAACACACAATGTGATATATAGATGATGTATTACAGAATTGTACACTTGAAACCTATTCAGTTTTACTAATCATTGTCACCCCAATACATTTTAATTAAAAAAAAAATCAGAGCAGATTGAATAATAAGAATTTTTTGCTGGAATCATTTGCCTGGGTTCATGGCACTCCCTATTTCCACAGGTGCAGGGTAGCATGACACGGGCCTGGAGGGGCCCTTATACGTCTTCAAACCTAAAACTCAATTCCCACCTCACCCTGATTGCTTTTAGGGCCAATATCAATAATTAGGAACTCTTGTGCAATAAATTCTGAATACCTCCAAAGTTAAAATTTAGGCAAAAATCTAGAAAGAGTGTGCCTAAACGCGTCATAAAAAAAAAAAATCACAGCTGCTTTACAATTAAATTGTTTTATTTCACATCACTGCTTAGTAATAAGTATATGTTTTCAAAGATTACTTTTTTGCATGGAACCATACGTTGATATGAAACAAAGATGCTTTTACAGGCATTTGAAAGATTTCCTAAAGATATTGTAATTTTTATGGTTCAATACCAAAAATATTGTTTATTATGATTGTGTTGTGTTAGAACTTCAGTGAACCTTTTAAATATACCAGTTTATATGGCCAATTTATTAAATGAGAAACAGTTTAATGAAGTTTAACTTTCATCTCAGAGATAAAACATTTGCCCAAACACCGAGGAGGGAAGACATTACTGTGCATCAGTATATTAATGTCTGACATATGAATTTCTATTCTCCCCCTGCAAAATGGAGATGCTTAAATATTATCAAAAGGAAAACTCTTTCCACCCAAATATGTAATTAGTAGAAAGGAAAAAAAAAACTATTGATACTTTAATTAGTGATTTTAAATTGGGTATGTCTGTCGTATTCATTACTGTTTGTTTTTTCTTGCAGCGTGGGGAAGGGCAGCCGCCGCCATGCTTTTCTGTGGCTTTATCATCCTGGTGATCTGTTTCATCCTCTCCTTCTTCGCCCTCTGTGGACCCCAAATGCTTATGTTCCTGAGAGTAATCGGAGGCCTCCTGGCCCTGGCTGGTAAGACTGTGTGTCAGCAATTCTTCATTCCTACCTTCAGCAGACATCAGGACAGTAATGTCCAATCCACAAAGAAGATCCCTGATAATTACAGTTCCTGACTTGTTCTCAGAAAATATGTCACCAAGGGCAGAAGGAACAGAGGAGAGATGTGTTTTAAGACCTGGATCCCTTTCCTCCTGTGTCTCAGGTGGTACTCTGTGCCCCCCATCCAAGTCAGGAAGGTTATCACTGTATATTATCTCTTATAGGGGACCCCATGCCCAGTGTCACCTCTATCCCAAGGGACCAGGGCTGACTCAGCCCTGGAAGTGCGGTGACTCCATAGTGGGCCCAGTGCTGGCCTCCTGTGAGTCCCATGCTGAAGGGATGGAATGTCCCTGAGCCATTTTACTTCTTGAAGGAGGTCTTGTGATGTGGTGGGTCATGAAAGGGTTTTCTGCAGTGGGATGAGGGACCCTGGGAGGGGCCAAGATCTGGAATTGCTTCATCACCAGTGTTGGGGGGCCAGAAATTTAGTTGTGCAGGGGTGTGAGGCTCAGAATGAACGTTTATTAGTAGAATACAAGAAGTAGGAATCTAGGAGCAAGAATTATTTGAAATTTTAGGCAGGCACCTGGCATTAGGGAAGTCTGTTGAAGGGGCAGGACCCCAGCCACAGAACTGAATTTAGTTGTAAAACTGGATTTCCTGAGGGGGGGAAAAGAGGAGGTGCTGAGAAGGGCGAAGCGAGGCCACAGGCCATGTCTCAAGATAACAGCTTAGGCTCCTGGGAGCAAAGCAGGAATTCCGCTGTGGACCTGAAGCAGAAGTCCTTGAGACCGGTCAGAAGCCTTGTGACTAGAAGGGGTCCGTGAGTCCAGAGGGAGACCACCTTGTGCTGGGTTCCCTGAGCTTAGAAAAGGTGTTCACAGGGCCTCGGGCAGGACAAGTGAGAGGCGGAAAGGCCCTGGTGGAGAGGAAAGAGAACCAACCAGTGCAGGCCTGCCCTTACATGTGCATTTAACAATCCCTCTTGATTAAAAATAAAACTTACTCCAGTGTTCCTCATGTTTCAAAGTTTGCTTTTGGAATAATATTTTAAAGTCAGAAATGACTTGGAATTACAAAAGGTATGAAGCACCTTGTTGAATCCCACCTCTGCTTTTATTTGGTTTTTCTTATTTCAAATGTGTAAGAGATTATCAAAGAAACACATATGATGGATCTTCTCACATGTCTGAGAAGACCAGATGGATGCCTGTTTACATCACTGTTAGAAATAACACACCAGGACATTAACTTTCATTGAAAAATCTTAATATATGACTCAACATTTTCACCTCTCGATATATATCCAAAAGAATTGAAAGCAGGGACTTAAACGGACATTTATACACCCATATTTATAGTAGCATTATTCACAATCACCAAAAGGTGGAAACAACCCAACTATTCATCAACAGATAAATGGATAAGTAAAAAAATATGTAATTCATTCATAAAAAGGAATAAAGTTTTGCTATATGCTACAATGTTGATGGACCTTGAAAACATTATGCTAAGAGAAATAAGGTAGACGGAGGACAAATATTTTAGGATTTCATTTATATGAAGTACCTGGAATAGGCAAATTCATAGAGACAGAAAGTAGATTAGAGTTTACCGGGGGCTGAGGGGAGGGGAAATGGGGATTGAGTTTACGTTGGGGATGTTGAGAAAGTTATAGTTTAGATAATGGTGATGGTTACACAATATTGTGAATGTATTTAATGCCACCTAATTGTACACTTAACAAGTGATTAAAATGGTAAATATTACGTTGTATGTTATGCAGCAATTAAAAACATCCTAGTGAAACTCCTTTGTCCATCTTAGCATTAAAATATTAAGATCTAGTGGGTTGCAGAAGTTGTAAAGAAAACTAGTTGTAGTGAGCGTGAACAGATAAACTGCTTACCGGGCCTGCTTAATTCTGTTCTCACTTTACAATTTAAAATTCCTCTTTCCCTTTAGAGTCTGACAAGTAGAATGGGAAATGTTTATAGAAGGATAAAAAGCCTAGAAATTTCAGTACATTTTTAGTGGTAATAATATTGAATAAGGCATACTTGGTTGTTAAGATAATATTTCACAGCAACATTTATTTTTAGTTTTATATATATTATTGGGTTAAAATCAGAAAAATTGAACACTGATACAATTTAGATTTTGCAGAAATTCATCCAAACCATTACAAGAACTTCATGTATGATGAACCAAAATGGGTAAACCCCAATAGTTAACATGTATGCCTAGGCAAATTAGAGAATAACATAGAGAAGGATTACTTTCACACACAATATTTTGCAGTAACTAGCAGATTTCATTAGGAAGAGTTTGCTATTTAGGTATACAAGAAGCCAGAGAAATATTTAAACTCCGCACCAAGATTGCCCTTCATAAATTGCCAGAGAAGAGGAACATTCTGAGTTGAGAAATACAAGTAACAGATTAACATGTGGAAACACCTACAGCCTTGCTAGCAATTAAAAAAAAAAAGGAAAAAGAAAACTACCTTAGGAGTTTTGTCTGTGGAGCAGTAGAAAAAAATCAAGGTGAAAGAAGAAGTGGCAAGGACTACGCACCCCCTGATACATTCTGGGGAGCACAACCAACTGGCCCCTCTTTGTGGAAAGAACTGGTACAGAACTAAAATCTGCTCAAACCCTTGGTATGGCAATGTGCGTGGGAAATATGAAGTCCAAAATATGCAGAACATAGCACAGCATCATCCCAGCTTTATGGAAGTATGCATGTTCATTGAGAAAGACTAAAAGATTAAGTTCTTTTTATTTTTTGTAATTTGAAACTTGCTTAAAATGTTAATATGATAAATAATACTTGTAAGAATGTGACTCCTACACCAAAGAGTTTAGACATACGTTTTCTTTCTTATATCCTCCTTACACTTCCCCCAAAGCCCTATCCCTTCTTTTTTATATATATTATTTTTTCTAACACTGGAACTATTAACTATGTCTTTGGCATAGGAAATACAAAGATGAAAAACGGACTCTTGATTCCCATCCTGCTTTCGACTGTACACCGCAGTTTGGGCACTTTTTACTTCAGTATCTATAAGGCTTGCACGTGGACTATAGAGTGATTTTCTAATTGTCTTCTGCCCACATTTCATATATTCAGCATTCCTCTCAGTGCGAGGTGACTCTGACACACACTATTTAATAATCTTTTAGGGCTCATGGTTAACTAGGTACCCCAGCTCCTTTCATTAGCATTGTCTAGGTAGATTTAAGATTTATAGAAAGGCAGAAACATTGTGGGGGAGGAAGTTAATCTGTTCATTCATTCGTGCATGCATGCATTCATGCTTTGGAATTTTTTCCTTCCCTTTAGCTGTGTTCCAGATCATCTCCCTGGTAATTTACCCTGTGAAGTACACCCAGACTTTCGACCTTCACGCCAACCCCGCAGTCCTTTACATCTATAACTGGGCCTACGGCTTTGGGTGGGCAGCCACAATCATCCTGATCGGCTGTGCTTTCTTCTTCTGCTGTCTCCCCAACTACGAAGACGACCTTCTGGGCAATGCCAAGCCCAGATATTTCTACACATCTGCCTAAAGTGGGGAAGGCGCTGCTGCCAGGATGGATTCTGGAGGAAGGAATTTTGTTCTTCAGAATACTTTGAACCTTTTTCTGGGGCACAGTGTTCATATCATGAGACTAGTCAAATTGCTAAGATAGTTTGGGAGAAAATATTTCTTAAATGGTGTTATAGTTTCATATTCATTTTTTATATATGTTTTATAGAATTAAACAAAACTTACTTTTTTAAATTACCTATAGTATGCCATATTTCCTTACTATCTTTTTTATACCATTTATACTGCATGTATAAAAGAATCTGAATATGAAACTTATACCATCATATGGTAAAAATGAGAAGGCTTCAAAGATTTAAGTGACTTGATCAAGTGTGTGTTTTTCCCAAATTAAATGGACTGGATCTATTAAGGGATCAGGAGAAGAGAGAAATATCGGTAAAAATTACCAGTGACCAAATATTCTTTAAAAAATGCGAAATTTTTTCCAGCCTTCAGCTAAAGAAGTAAAACAGTTTCCCAAATACATACCATCTCTGATAATTTCTATTTACTACCCTGAATAATTGATTTTTTTTGCTAAGCTTCACATTAACTTGATATGTCATTTAGGAAAGTATTCTTTCATGGCCAAAACCTGTTGCAGTAGTAAGGCCTTCTTATGTAGGGAAATGCTAAAATGAAATTTTCTCCTTTAAAGTGGTTTGTAGGGTTGGGGTGTGGGAAAATGATATATTAATCTGTACTGTTTTGTGTCTATGTGTTAAAGACCAGACTAGATTGAGTTGAAACATGGAGTGGGTCTAATTCATCATGACTGATAGATATGATTAGATTGTACAATAAAGCATTAGGAAATCCATTCCTATCACAAAAATAACATTAAACAACCTAAGGAGAAGAAATGGCTTGAGTTTTTTCATCTCAGTTGACTGAGCTCTAACCATTAGACAGCTTCTGATAGACTGCAACTGTAAGCAAAAATTTAAATATAGTTAAAACCCTGGTCTTCATTGGTAAACAGATTTAAAATATCTGATGTAAAACACGCAACAGAAGAATTCAGGGATGTGAGATCTCTGAATGGGAAATACCTATATATCATATGGATTTTTTTTTTTTTACCAGTTGTACTTAACATAATGAAAAGCAATTTACTTATCAAATTATTATTTTGTAAGTTGCAGGATAAGCAATTGCAGTTTTTATTATGAATTTTCCACAATAAACCAGGTGTTCTAATCTTGTGTCTAGTTTGAAGTGTTTTGGCTTTTTTTTTTTTCTTTTAAATTTCAAATCTGGTGGAGGCAATTTTTTTAAAAAATGCTTTGAGTGGGAGTAGTAAGAACATTGGATAAAATGAAAAGTTGCTTTCTCCTTGAGATGGAGTATTCTTTATTCAGGTGGTAGGATAGCAAGCAGTCTCTTTTCTTCTTTTCCCCTTGTCCACCTTCCCATCTGATAGTTTTTTTTCCCCCCAACATGTGTCATAGGTTAATTCTGCTATGGTGTATGTAATGCGAAGAAGGGTTGAGGAGTGGCATGATGGGAGAAGGGAGGTATTTCTTCTTTGTGCTGCTAGCCATTTGGTCCTTGGCAGTAAATTTTTCTTCTATGCTTCCAAAATATGAAGTGAATATTTCTCATAAATTTAGAAGAGCGTTGTCTGTGTGATTATTTACCCCATTTTTTTTAAATTCTGTGACTAGTAGAGGATTTGAAGTGGTAAGTAACAATGTTCAAAATGCCATATTCTAAGAACATAGCTAATTCAAGAAGATAACGGATATCTCGAGATTAAGAAACTGGGTCTCCCTGTTGAACAAGAAAATCAGTCTCAGATACAAGGTTCTCTAAGACATGTACTCTTGTCTTTGGATTTCTTTCCCATTGCAACTTTCTTCTTCATCTCAATAAGCAACACACTCTATTCTAATGATGCACATTTAGGAAAAATACAACTTCCTGGGACGAATAAGCTGATGTAATTAATAGAAGCGTTTTAATGTGAAACAGTTGGGACAAAGACACACTAAGTGTCATTACTTTGGCTAAACTGTTCCACTTCTTTCAGCCTCGTACAAGTAGAGATCCTCCATTCCTTGTTGGATCACATTCACCAAGACAGATACCTTTATGTCACAAACAGAGTAGGAGAATTCCAGAGAATCCTGGAGAGCAATGAAGAATTCGACTGAGAAACCATCTGGAGCCTAACAATGCATTGTATGCGATTTCCCATGGTAAAGCTGAGGTGGTTTTCGGCTCTGTAATTATATTAAGAGTCCCCACCCATTAAATAAGCAGTTCTAGGTTCCCAAGCAATTATCTCACGCTTACACTATAAGTAGTCAGATATGCTAAGTGCCATTTACTGTTGAATGTAACAAAGGAGTAATATGTCAACGTCTATCAGTTGTCACACAAAGTGACTATGGAATGTAATTAGTTTTAGCTTCAAAACCATCTACTGCTGGACTGACAAAAGTTTCATAGACTTTCCTTTTTTAAGGAAATAAAAACAATGGAAGAATATAGTCATAATAACTTAATTAGGTTGATTTTTGCTACACACACTTGCTGCTGAAAGAGAGTCCTACTAGTATAATATACACGAATGCTGAATTGACTTGTTTTGTTTTTTTAGGCATACCTGAAAAGGGCATATTTGAGTCACATTCCAATGTTGGCTCTTGTTAGCTCTTAGGCTTGGGTAGTTCATTTCCCCACTGGCCTTATAACTTCCTCTATAAAAGGATAGCAAATGATCCCTTTTCATAATTCTCTGATTCAGTGTGTTTGTATGTCTATCTGCTCATTTGTTAATTTACTCAATATTCTTGGGAAAAGGAAAAAGGGTAATATGATGCATATTTTGTGTTTTTTTCAAATTGATTTTCATAGGTAGAAACAATGACTATAATCTTTTAAATTATGATAGCATTTTTTGTTTTTAGTTGAAAATGAAAGAATATTTCTTTAATTGGGTGAATGAAATAAGTGACTGTAGACTTTATCATGAGCATAAGGAACCCTAAGCTTTGAAGAAAAACTTCATTTGCATTCCAGCGAAGTTCTGATTTAAAATGGTGGAGCAGACTCTATTAAGTAATCACTTCTGACCAGTATAAAAAAAAAGAATAAACAAGTGCCAGGGGGAATAAATCCATAGGTAAAAAGGGATCCATTAGCTGACCAGAGACTTTGTCAAATTTCTGGAAGATGAAAAATGAGTGACATTGTCAGCTCAGTGAAGCCATCTAGAATAAATTCAAGTTGGCTGTCACAGAAGTAACAGCTGTGCTGCTTGATAAGTGCCAGAGGTGCCAAGTTTGGAGTTGGCAGGAAAAAAGGTGGGAATGGGAAAGGGGGAGGGCGTAAATTTGGGGGATTAGAAGTCTGCTCCAGGAGGAGTTTGACAGTTGGCCTGGCCTTCCCTTCCCCCTATTAGACCCCCCACCCCAAATTTACACATTGGAGTCAGTGACCTACAGTGCTTACCTGTACGCAAAACTCAGGGATGATGATCATGCTCACTAGGTAGCATCCTCTTTTCTAAGTGCTTCTCATGTACTAATCCATATAAACCTCCCTGAGACCCTCTGATATGGATGTAATTATTCAGAGAAGTAATGGATGTATAGGGATGTGAAGTAACTTTCTCAAGGTCACATAGCTAGTAAATAACAGTAATAATAGACAAGAAATACAGTATTGTATTGTTTGGTGCAGTAGAGAATAGCACAGTAGGTATTATCAGTATTCTCAGGCTTTCCCCTCCTACCCTTGTATTGGTGTGGGTCCCTCAACCTCTTCCGTGTATCCATACTGCAGGGAGGGTTGTGTCTTCCCAGGGTGTTTGGGGGGCATTGTATAATGGAGAAGCATGGGATAAAGCAGAAGGATCAGATGTGTGAAGGACTAGGCCTGGGAGCAGACTGGTTATTCAAAGAGAGTGGGGATGAGATGGGCAGCTGAAGGAAATGAACAGGAAAGAGAAAAGGATTCAGAAATCTTAGGCTCTATGAATCACGCTGCATAGTGTTTGAGAAACACAGTCCCCATTGTTCTGAGTTTTCATGATGGGACTGTCTTCTTTTGGAGCACTTCTCTGTGATTGGACCATGTAAGTCATTATTTCAATACACATCACAGGTATGAACCATTTTCCAAAGCATCCCAGGGGTGTGGTTGAAATTAGAATGTCTGGTCTTGAATTGCTGGCCTGATGGAGAGTGCCTGATAAATAAAAACCAAGAGCGTCTCTGAGGCACTCATTTCTAGCCTTTCTAAAATGTACTGCTTTTGCTATTAGAGATAACTGGTCCTAACTGAAGTACAATATTTTTAGACATTAGAATCATCCATATACTGTAAAGAATATTGTCTTTATTATTTATAGGATATTTTGAAACATGTATTACAGAAAAAAATGCATAGTGAACACATGATGTTCATGTAGATAGGACATACATAGGTATAGATATACTATATCCCATCGTTTTGGCTTTTGTTACACTATGGAATATTCTTGATCAGAAATAGAAATGCTTGGAAGAAGGGCTCCTTTTCACTTTCATACATCCTGTGACTAAATCTTTTTCACCCATGTACTCAAGTAGAGGAAAGCGAATGCATAATCCCTATGTTTTATCTTAAATTTTTATATATGTAAATGTTTAATCTGAAATATGGCCATGCTTCTTGTAATATAAAAATGGTTTACATCACAAGTTAATTATTTAACCCTCCACCTTTACCCCACAAATCCTCAAATAAACTAGAGCACGTATGAACAAAGCATATCACATTTGAGGAAGACATCGCCTTAGAAGCAATTGTCTGAACTGACACCTTGACTTTAATTTAGGTGGAAGACACAAGTAAACATTTTTAATAGCCCTCTAATACTTAATTCCCTTCTACAGAAAGAAATTCAAAGGATTACCAGTTGGTAAAGCCATAACAAGAAAGCAAAGGATTTTGAAATCTAAATTGCTATGAAAAGGGGATGACTGAACAAGGCTATTTCATACAATTATGCAGTAAGGATGTAATTGGAATTGAGGCCAAGAGCAGAATGCCTAGCTCCCTGTTTTGAATTCTTTTCCTCACTCTTTCTGCAGCAGTTAATTTTGTAGTGGAGTTTTAAAAACAGGTCTTTGGAGTCAAAAGATTGCCTTATTTTATCTCTGTAGAGTGGTTTCAGGTTTTAAAATTTCTGAAGACACACTGAGCTTAGGACCACCAGTGGAGGGTCAGAGCCCTTTGATTTTTGAGATAATCCTTCGGAGAGTTAGGCTTGCCTTGTCACACATACCGTCCTTTGTTCCTCGATTTTGCAATCCTGGTAAGTATCTGGGAGTATTTTACTGGGTGTGGCAGAGGTGAGAATAACACACCTCAGGTGTGGGAAAAGACAGCCAAAAAAGGGAAATTAAAAGAGGTTCAGATCCTGTCATGTTAATGATATTCCACTTGTGCTATCCTGTGCTTCATTGTTAATCTCCAGATTAACAATATTTCTTTCGATGCAGAAATAAAGGAAAACTCAGAAGTATGTGTGTGCGCGTGCACGCATATGTTCAAAGATGGTTCGATCATGAAGAATTGGAATCCTGTTGATTTAAATGGCATAAGATTGTCATAGTGATAATGAGTCATTAAATATTCATAAATAGATGGTTGTATAATGGTTTGCCCAGCCAGTTTTTCCAGTATGAAGATTCAAAGCAATTAACCTATTATCAACTGCTTTTGAATAAATCACTTTTTAGAGAGAACACTTAGATTTGAAATACAAACTCTGAATTTAATCTCTAAAAGTAAATTGCCCAGTGAGACTTTGAAAGCAAGTTCCCTATGCGAATCATTTGTTTCTTTGCTTTCTATTCTGGTTACTCAGTGGACACGCGTAATTTGAAATGCTTCAGTGAAAATTCATATTTCCAAATTCCACCCCACCCAGTTCTTAGTCAAGCTGAACACCTCAATGCCCAACGCTTTTTTTCAAGGAAAAAGAAAAACGAAAAACTGGCTTCAGGGCAGATATTGAAGATTGATGAAATGAAGTATGTATAGGAAGCTGGCCTTTGCCATGGTTAATTTCATGTTGTTAGAATTTACCATTGGAATGATCTCATCTGAGGATGTCTAGGGGGTCAGAAGTTGGGTACATTAAGACTAGAGACATCAACATGAAAAAATAAATTCCTGGCGAACTCCAAACAAACACAAATGCCTTCTTACAACA